AAGTTGGCACATCCTGCAAAACCTTCAAAGAGCAAAACAATTATTTGTCCTAGGCAAAATTCTTCAGTGGGATAAAGTTGAGCGAGTGGAGGTGTCGCAGTCAGGGGAAAAACACGACTAATTGAGACTGCTTTTCATTTACTCTGCATTTAAGGTTAAAAGATGGACATATCACAACCAAAACCACAAGTGCAAACTATCCCCATAGTTTATGCTCCTGTCCTCATACACCTTAATCATGACACATGATGGAAATTCTTCCTGTTTCATTCCACCATTAGGGTCTGCTCTCTTGGCTTGAGAGCCCTGCCCATGAATGGTACCTCAGAGATCCACAGCTCTACTCATGCCAGGTCCTGACTACTCAGAAGTGCCCCAGGAAGGATTATCTAGCAGGAACCTCTCTGTGATGCTGGTCATGCAGAGGGGCACAGAGAAGGTAGAAGAGCACAGTATATAGAATCAGGAGGAGCCTTTTCAGCACAAATAAAGTGAGCAGGAGGTAGGAAGGAGAGAAACAGCAGTATGTGGGGAATGACTGAATGGAAAGAAATCTGATGGAGGTAATAAAGGAAAGAGAAGGAAGAAGAAATGGGCATGGGCCGGAGGGCAAAGGGAGGAAAAGCAAAGAGCACCTGAATTTAAAATAAGCCCACCTTAAATTACTTTCCATTCCCTGCCTGCTCTTACTGCTACCTATCCCACCTTCTCTACAGGCTTGGGGACTGATGCATATCCCCAGAATGCCTTGCACAGAAGGAATGTTGCCATGGTAATGGCAAGCCCACAAGGAAGCACTGAACCACAATGGACCAATTGCTAGGTGCACATATAGGTCTGCTTCCTATTAAAACAGACACAAAAAACCTTCTCTCTGTGATCATGAAAAAAAATGATGAAAAGTAACTGGAGAAGGGTGGGGGGTGGGGTATTCGCCTTTTTTTGTCTGCAGCAAGTGAGAAAAGTAGCAGTTTGTTTCAGGGTGGCATTGTCATCAATCTTTATGGGGGAGAAACTCCTTGGCAATGTGTGTGGGGGGAGGGGTGGGGGGAGGCAAATGTCCAAAGTTGACCATTGCCCAATTTACAGCTTTTCTTCAGTATTTGCAAAGATCTCAGGAGTTGAAAACAGAGAATTTCACGCATTTTTGGACTGCAAAGGCATAGACAAGCAGGAACTTTAGTCTCCCCCCCCCCAAAAAAAATTAGGGATTGCATTAATAAAGAAAGAAAACACTGAGCTCAGAACAGCAGCTCACTGTTCTCACTTTATTAAAAGTGGACAAATTTAGTCATGCTACAGAACTGCTCATTCCAGTGATATTCTACGGCTTATATTGTATTTTTTTAACTCTCACTCTTCTCTCCCCCCCTCCCCCCCAAAATTGTTGATGGCCTTCAACTGACATCCATCCTTCAGGGGGTCCTAATATGTACTGAATTTAACTTCTGCTCTAATTTCCCCACCCCCACCCCAAATATCATAGCACTCCATGGAATAAAACATACCCTAGAAAAATGAAACTGTCAATTAGAGTCATAGTAACCAGATAAGTAACTCCTATGTCTGGTATTTTCAGTACAAGAACGTCTTGTTTTTCTCAGTAACTATAACATTACTTCCTACAGATTAGATGGGAATCAGAAATGCATTAACCCCTTTCCCTCTAGACTGAAGGCTCTAGAGAAATATGATAATTAACAGACATTAAGGCAGTTAGAACCAGGATGCCCTGAAGCATATACTAAGGATTAAGTGTTACTATGGTTCATATATTAATTAAATTATTACTGTATGACAACAGTTGTCATAGAATACTGGAATTTTGCAAATTGTGTGTTTATTGCAAATTAATAGATGCCCATTTTTATCTATTCAACTAATTTGTTATTAGACACTTCTTAGTTAAGTACTTTTTAATTATCAGTGCTGTGTAAGGACCAGATATTGATACCTTACTCATATTGAGTAGACCTTTACTCCTCGAGTACTCTCACGGATGGGACTAATTGTGGAATCAGGTATTACTCAATGTGAGTAAGGATAACAGAATCTGGCTCTAATACAATAATTCTATAATTAGTGATATATTACTTAAAGGAATGGTGTCTATTTCTTGTATTTTAGAACGTACATCTCCTTATTGTACATATGAAAGTTTGAGCTGCTAAATCATCGATAAATTATAATTACACAATTGTAATACAGTGCTCCCAGTTCAGCTTGTCTTTGTAAGATGATGGCAAGCAAATGGAAACCAATTGCTATAGAAAATATTTCAGAGTGAATTTTCTGTTCTCCCATTATTTTATCTCTGCCGCATCTGTTTTTCTTTGAAAAATATCTAGCCTTCAGGTCTTCACACTTCTCTGGGATTGGAGGATGTCCAACCATAATCGGATACATTTAAGTGGGCTAAAAATCAAATCTTTCACTGAACTATTGTTATGTGCATGTTAAAACAAAGAACACTTGTTAAAAAAGGACTCCTTCCTTTACCTCTCAAAGGACTCCAGATCTTGCATCTGGATGGGCGTTATTAAAGCACATATAGAAGAGGAGTATGCTGGCTCCTTGCCTCCCTCTTGCTAGCTCGATATATGTGCCCTCTGTGGGAGACTCTTCTCTTTTTACCGTGCAAGAAATGAAGACTTCACCGAGGGCTGGAATATATCAGTTTATAGAAAAGGTTGGATATAAGATGCAACCTGATTGCTTTATGAAGTGAGATTATTCAGCACTTAGTCTGCCTAATCATCAGAGGCTTGATCCTGTGCGCATTGAAGTCAAATGCAATTACTTTCCTGGGGCAGGATCAGGCCTGAGGGAGGGATTGTTTCCTGCCACTTTGGCAGCCCTTAGCCAGCAGGGTGAAAATTCCTCTGACACATGCACTGCATAGGACAGCCATAGGCTTCTCTCTGCAGGCCCCATCACAAACCCTAATGTAGGAGGCATGCCAGAGGCAGGAGGGGAGTCCCTCTAGCTCATGCAGCTACAGAAATTCTCAGCAACTGCAGGCTACAAAGCAGCCCATAGACAGACCAGGGAAAGAGTGCTGTAACTTATAATAGCCAGTCATTGGTCTAAATTACTGTGGAAGCCATGGGAGAGCAGCTTAAAGCTACCTTTAACATCCTTCCCCCTACTCAGCAGAGCCTTCCATTTGCACTTCCTGGTGGAGTTGCAACACAGAATCTCAAGAAGCTTTTCCTAACATTTAAAAGTCTAGACTTAGATGTGCCACTGTGAAATAATTTTTGGCACATTATTGGACCTACTTTAAAATCCACTGTAGTGTGGTGGGGAGCTCCTCCAGATTTTAAATATGTGTTTAAAAAGCAATTGCCCATTCTATTACTAAGAAATCAAAAGGAGAAGACACCCACCAGTTTGAATCCTGTAACATTGTTTGTTCTGTTGCTTCAGAGGCAGCCAGCAAGGCATGAATTTACTAACAAACTGTTCCCAGAAATGCTGCAGTACTAAAGACACTCCTGGATGATGCTTTTGACAAACAAGGAAGTTAACAACCTATTGCCAGGTTGGCTTGTGTTCCCAGAGAAAAAGGAGGGAAATGTACCATTTAACAAATAGGAAAGATCAAACACAGTGCAGGAAGAAATCCTATTCTCAAAGTGCTTAGGGAGCTGTTACAAACAATGGAAAGTAAAACCTTAAACATCAAATTTACAAAGTGCTTGGCCATGTCCCTTTATTCTGACCAAAACCAGAGGTAAAAATGGGGAGAGAGAAAATTATGAACTTCAGAGGAATCAGCACAAGGAACCATTTTAGCAGTGCAGTGCCACGCATGGACAGGACTACTGGACAGAATTTCTCAAAGTGTCTTCAAGGCATCCAAATATCCAGCATGCCTATATACTCATTGAGTGTCATTACATATGTGAAAGCCCCAGGGAGCTTAAGGCTACCAATTTACCTGCTCGCTTAATACTTTTTGCCAGTTCTTCTCACTATGAATTTGATGCATTGGAACTATCAACACCTAGGTGCACCCAAGTGCAGCATCTGGGATAGCTGAATAGAAAATAGCAGCTGGTAAACCACCATCTATGTAAGACCTGATGTGTTGATGCTATTCATTACAATTCATGTCACTGTAACAATGAAACAGCAAAGTTGAAGAGAGACGTGAGTAAAAGGGGTGATTTAAAAGCCCAAACAAATCTACCAGAACTAAATGCAACACACCACCACAAAACTGTGTGCTCACTTGTTCATCCAAATTAGCACCAGCTACACATATACAATTGTGAAGATCAATGGCAACAAAACATTTATTTTGTTCTATTTTCTTTATGTATCTGGTGCGCTAATGGCCCCTCTTTGTGCATTACAGAACTGCCCATGAACAGTTCAAAACCCAGGCTACAGAACTGTGAATTGATATGGAATGATTCCATTGTTGTTGTTTTCACATTTGGGAGATACAAAGGTGAGGGGTGTCAGCATAAGAATCTAGACAGACAGATCTCAAACTGCGAGATGGCCCCTAAAGCTCAGCCTGGCTATCACAAATTTGTTCAGAGTGAGCGTACAATTACAGAGACATTTTCACTGACTATTGCTGATGCTATACCCCTACGTGCAACACCCACTAAATACAGAGGGCTGAGGGGTATTTTATATTGAACTTCCGTTTTATAACCAAGAGCTGTAATTTCCTTGAAATCTACTGCTTGCCATGGCCACCCTCTTCCTACAAGGTCAACAATGCCTGAGGGATGCTATAGTTACCCAGAACCTTGTCACATTTTATCACATAATGTATATAGAGATATATATTTATAGAACATTGAGATATGCAATAACAAAAATAACTAATGTTGTTAAATAACAAAATTGTTTATTTCATTAACATTAAAAATATTTTCTGCCCCCAGTTTCACTTTAAAATGGGACAGTGCAGCACTCAGAATGGAACAATCCAGGAGTTGCTACATTCTACATCAAGAACCCCTATAAGGCAGATTAACTAATAATATTCTACCAGTCCAGCAGCCTCAATGGTTGATCATCCCTAAATTCTTTACACTTCTAAAATAATAGCTCCATGGAAAAAATACCTGCAGTAAAGTTATTTTAATAAATTAAAGTGATTTAAATTTAATTTAAGTGAGTTTCCAGCCCCACATTAGAACTTGGGCACTGCCCAATGCATAGACTGCAATGCAGTGCTAGGATGGACACCAGAGCCTCAGATTCTATACACATGTATAATATTAAACTGATGCCCAGTCTGCTTGCTTCTGATAACTGTCCAGAGTCAAGGATCCTGTGACATTTGAAAGGAATAATCCCTACTAGGGTCCTAGCCCAACATTCCCTCTCTCAATGAAACAGGTTCTGATATCCCAGGCTGAGAGAGAGCCATTGCAGAGAATAAATATATGCTCTGTTTAGCTACATAATCAATATTCCCCCAGGATGTAACATGTTGTTTGTGACATGCATTGGCACACCTTGACCATTGACTATGTGAATGCCAAGTTCTGTTCTATTTTCAGTGCTGGGTTTTGTTTTGTTTTTTTTTATTTCCTCTCATCATATAGTAACTGCTTCCTACAGAGTTTTCAGAGTGAAAAACTTTCCAGAGGCACAATGGTGTCCTTCTAGTCATAGCATCATTTTCCAGCTGCAGGGAAAAATAGAAGGCCAGATTCTCATTTGGGATCCAGCTCCTTTAAACTGTATGAATGGCACAAGGCCGCAGATGCCAAGCTGAAAATTCTCCCTGCAGAGGGGAATTCTTAACTGATGTAAAAAGCCAGTTGCTGTGCCGACCATTTTCCCAGTTCTCAGGGCACATCATGGGAGAAGAGGAAAATCGGTGATGGGGAGGGGTGGAGCACAACCCTGCTACAGTGATTCACAGCCACTGTATGGTTCCCTATGGACCACAACAAGCGGTCATAAGTTAGAGCAGTTTAATGGCTGCTCTAACTAATGTCTGGTCCTGGGCCAGGGAAGCTTGAGAATCAGGGAGCTATAACTGCTTCACTGACCATCATGACCCCATGCCCCAAGTGTACCTTGGCACAGGTCAGAATTTAGCCCAAGGTACCAGTCCCACTTCCTCCATTTCTCACATACAGAATGCACAACCAAAAGTGAAAAAGCTGCATGCCTTTCCTCACAGCTGGGAAATAATGCCAGGACTGCAGTGACAGCACAAGGGGAGGGTTGTTTGTATGGAAGTTTCACACACAGAGAAATTTTACTCTGCTTTCTGTCCTTGTATGTATACACTGGCCCTCCATGGAAACCCCTGAATGAGTAACCAAGGGAAGAATTTAGCCTTAATCTTTTGTTTTTAAATTAGAAAAATAAAGTGAATAGAGAAAATAAGACAAAATACATTTCATGTCGCCATTGATCTGTAGATTACAAATATAATATAATCTTCTTTCAGCGGAAGAAATACTGAACAATATTTTGCTCACATTGAATAGAGCTTTGAAAACAAGATAAATGAAAAGGCTTATTATTCAGCTCCCCCTCCTCTGCCAAAAGACTCACTTGTTTAAAAAAAAAAAACTGGAGAGAAAAATTCACCAGAATCACATCAATTTCATCCCCACAACTGCTATTAAAGGAAGAAAAACTTATCTGAAGAATGACCTGATGGGTTTTCCTGGGTTCAAAACTGTACACCAATCCTGTTTAGCACCAACCATCAGAAACCTACACCTTGCAAATGCATGTGAAAAGAGAGAGAGAATTGGATCTTCAATTACAAACAGTGTTGGAATTATTATGCCAGGATTGAGCCTTGACAGTTCTCATGGGGGTAGTCAGACTAAGAAAAGGGAAAGCCCCCTTAATTCTGACAGCTGAATTCCATAAGTGATAGAAAACCTTAACATGAACACTATGTATATGTGAGTATGTTTGGGGTGCGGATGATTCCTCTGTTTGATGGTGGTATTCTTTGGGTCAGGAAAGTAAGGAGCAGAATAAAGAAACCATGACTACATGCCTGACAACAGCTAAGCAATATATGTTTTTAACCCTATGGTGTGCAATGAGAGGCTAATGGTTGACATTTGTCTTCTTTTGAATAGGATAATCTCTCTCTTTTAAAGCTTTGTTCCAAATCCCTCTTGGAATCTGCCCATCTGTTTGCATTGTATTTTATTATTTTAAAAATGTCTAATGTGGTGCTCATCCTCTTGTTAATATCAGCAAGCCTTGACAGACAGCTGATGCTTTACATTTGGTTTCTATGACTGTAAGAGTCAATAAGTCAAAGTGGCAGCGCTAGTAAGTCAGTCAACCACAACTGCATCCATCATACTCTGATCTCTCCCTATCTTAAAAACACAACTTGACAGAAGCTCCAAATGGCTAATTATAGGCAGGATTCAGATCTGAGCAGAATCAGTCTGTCATTATCAGCAGAGTGGCGACATGAGACATCTTATTGGTTACTGTGTGGTCTGTCAGAAGACAACACAAAATGTCACACAGCAACTCCCTTCCACTCAAATATTTCATGAGGACACCTTTAAGATATATTCAGAGACAGATAGAAGGCTAGCTCTTGTCAGTGCTTTAAAGCTAGCTGGATCCAGCACCCCATAGAACAGGGCAGTAGAAAGAATTTGTTCAAAAAAAGAGAAAAAAACTCCCTGGCAATTAAACACTGAGAATTCAACTTCCGAGGGAACAGTAGGTGAAGACTCAACAGGTTCAAAAGTCATTTTTTTTCCTAAGGGCATCCAGAGCTCCTCAAAGTCTTGCCTATCACCTGTCCATTTGTGAAGAATTAATACAGAGATAACAGATATTATTTAATTGGTGACAAATGAGTAGGATGGGAGAGGAAGGTATGTAGGGCACTGTAGGAATGGAGGAAGGGGTTGGTTGGGTTTATTAATGTCCAAGTTAGTTTGGTTTTTTTCCTCCCTTTTCTTTTTTTAAATAAATTGTACAGATGAACATGGGAGAAGTTCATGCTACTTGCTGGAAGCAGTAAGGGTAAATTTCCATGGTCCATGGATTCCACAGACCTTTGAGTGTTTCACCTCATCCCCAATGGGCCATCACACGGGAACACAACAGTTCTGTGACAAGACTCATTAGCCCTTAGAAACTGGTGGCATGTCCTCAGATATTTTGCATGAGAGCGAGAGACACGTTGATTCCATCAGCTTCTTCCTCATACAATGCCTGAGTGTCTCAGGTGCAGCCTTGTTATTTCCTAGGGTTCTCTTCCCCTTCACGGACATCAAACTGCAGTCTCCAGGTCCTCATGGGAAACCATCTGGTAATTCTGACGACTTTCCAGGTAGGAGGCCAGATCTGAGTCCCCAGCTTGCTGAGCCTTGTCTCTAGGTGTCTGACCCTACAATGAAGGGACACAGATAGAAAGCCTTACACATACATTTTTAGAAGACAAAATTAATTTATGTCCCACAGAAGGTAACACTAGAAGTACAGAAAGAAAATTCTGAAGCAGAAATGTGAAGAGGCAGCTTGACTGGTGTCAAGTTAAGGTTCTCCATGAGAATTATTTAATTTTACTATATGCATGGCTCCTGGGACTGGTGTCTTGCTGCCAGGCTTCCTCCTACTTAAAGTCTTTACCAGATTTAGAATAAACCCCTCAATTTTACAAGAGACTGTGTGGTTTGCAGTCGCTGACAAATAGTATATAGACACCAAAATAGATTTAGCAGAGTTCCCATCCAATGGCTGGACATACTGTGTGTGCATACCACACAGTACTGTAGCTGAGGCATGAAAAGAAACCCATAGAGACCATAGGCAACAACTATCAAGTGTGTGAAGAGAAAGGCTCCCAATATCGGAGTTTGTAGAAGCCATGCTGAGCTGGCCTCAGTTGATAATCACTCTTTAGGGCATCTTACTGCTACCAAGTTATTTTAAGGTTGCTATAACCTAAAACCAGGAATCTGGAACATCAAACTTTGAAAAAATATTGAATGTTGATGTTCCTACATTAATAAACATAGGAACATCCCAGTCCCCCAGGAACATCAACATCCCTGGGTTGATAAAGACAGGCAGGTATCAGGCTAGTCAGTGTCCACTTGTCGGCATTTCAGCCTTTGCTGACAGTAGTATTCAGTACTATTGTCCAAAAGGAACAGATGAACCTTCTCTTCACAAGAGACTACTCTGCACCGCAAAATATGGGAATAATGTTTTTAAAACTTCATTTATCTGTAGAGAAGCAACAAACCTTGGATTCTAAATTCCTGAAGTCTAACTGCCTTTTTATCAAACCTTTCAACCATTACCCATAGGTTGTCTGCTTTTACTAACTTCTTGCCAGAAGGGCAGCTTATGTAGCACCTTCCAAGGTGATTCTGGTCACCTGCAGACAGGTCAGCTGGGGTGATTAGACACCCTGGTACTCAGTGTAATGTGGCAGTGGCCCCGGCCCCTCCCTGTCCATGCTCAAGTTTATTTATGTTTGTGAACTTCTTGTGGATGTTTAGTCAAACAAACCGACACAATGGTTGAATATTCCTAGCCTCTAATTTTGCCCATATGTTTTCCTCAAACTCAGACAGTCTCATTAGGTCTGTTCAATTTTGAGTTTACACTAAGAGGGTGGGGGAGATTGTGGTTGGTCTTGCATGAGTGGACAAAATGGAAAGTTGGGACACAGAAGGGGGTTAGCCATCCCCACAAAATAACTAGATCACAACCACAACATGCATAGTCACCATCAAATCAAACTAGGATTCCTAATCAGTGACCCATACATCTCTTTTACAGTGCCCAGCAATGGTACTACTCTGCCCTGGAGATGCCTCACTGACACTCCATTTGAGAAAACAGTTTCAGGACAGGTTATCACTATGGCAAAGATGACCCAGGTTGGGGATTTAACTGGGGTCTCTTGTGTTTGTTTAAATCAAGACATTTTTCTAAATAAAACGACATGTTTGAAAAGAAATGCTTTTGGAACATACAGAGGCCCTCAATAATGCAGACATCAGGGACAGATGCTGATTGGTCTCGCTTGTCTAAAGTGTTTTATAATTGGTTCATTTGGTTTGGTTACCTTGGAATCTGTATTTCTTAGAGATGCTCCCGCATCCACCAAGAGCTGGCAGATGCCACGATGGCGCTGGCAGGCCGCCTTGTGCAATGCTGTCTCACCCCTAAACCAAAGCAGAGGAAACCAGCCGTAAGTTAAAATGAAAAATGCAGCATTTCTATGAAGCTCTCTTCTGTTATCCTTGGCATAGACATGTACACTTTCTCCCTCAGCTTGCATATCCTCCGGATCAGTAGAGCAGCTTATAATGCACAGATGGAGATGGAGTACTTCCGGGTGGGTGGAGAAGGGAACAGGAACTGTTGCCTTCGTATCTTTCCTTCCTATTAGTACTCTTACAGAAACAGATCACCACATTCTGCTGGCTGCTGGAAGAGCAAGTTAGCTGCCTTTCTGTTAATTCACTGTAGGGTAAACAGTGGTGATTTTTTCTATTATTTCCTACCCAAACTAAATATTGACACTTTGGCTCCTGCAAGCAGGGACAGATACATGAAAGTCAAAACTCCTGCCTGCCAAAGTCAGCGCTTGCACCATATTGTTGCCTGAGCCCGGATCCCCACCTCTTCCTGACCTCCATCAGTGAGTTAGTGTTCTAGTCCTCCACAGCTGGAGATCAGCATTCACTTTAAAGCTCTAAACCATTCTGATTTTCACAAGATGCGGAGACCGTCTCACAGTACCACTGCAGTTGAAGTAATCTTCCTCATATGATAAGGAAGAGGAGGAGAATGTGTGCTCTAGGTGGGAGTGGAGGGAGGCTCTGTTAGTGACAATATCAACCAGAGGGTGCCACTATACATCTATAAAAAATGAATGCCAAGAGCTATGCTCTAGCAGGGCAGATTTCACACATATACAGAGCCAGCAGGTGTATGTGTATGTGTGTGTGTGTGTGTGTGTGTGTGTGTGTGTGTGTGTGTTCTCAAAGGAATTTCAGACTCAACATATGGAGGGGGGCAAGTTGAAACATTGACTGGGTACCAGTGTGACAAATCTCTCCTAGCTGGGATTTGAACCAAAGATGCAGCACTAGATACCAACTGATTTCCAGCTGAGAACTAAGGGACAAATTCATGCCTGTGCTGGTGCTAGAGCTAGTGCAGGGACAGAAGGGAAGTGGTTTGCAACTCCCGTTTTCAGGATTAGACAGTGAATGGTTCAACCTATGGCAAAGGCTAGGGAAGCCCTGGATGCTGCCCTAACTTGCACCTCTGTTGCAATGATCTCTTTGCACCATTGCATGGTGCAGAATCACTGGTGCATGGGAATGTTCCATGCACGCCTCTTCATGCCCTCTTCCAGAGTACTCTGGAACGCTCCCTGCAGTGAAGACGTCTGTGGAGATGGGGCAGAGCTGGTTCTTTGCAGGGCACTGGCACCCCTGTGACAAAGCTATGCTTACCCTATTATGGCCCTTTTGTGGCAGTTCAATACAGATGGTGCAAAGGGGTCATAGATAGGGTGACTAGATAGCAAGTGTGAAAAATCAGGACAGGGGGTGTGGGGGGGTAATAGGCACCTATATAAGACAAAGTCCCAAATATTGGGACTGTCCCTATAAAATCGGGACATCTGATCACCCTAATCATAGAACAGCTGTGGTTTAACCCTATAAAGTCCAAAATGGTTTGGGTTCTGACTATTTGAGATAAAATTCTTCTCAGCTTGTGGGAGGGCATTGTCAGCAAGAAGTTCTTTCTTGCCTTTGGAATTTACTATCCCTCTTGGGCCCTCAGTGCCTGGATTCAGTGAGTGTCAGGACATTGCAAATCTCAGCTGTTTTCCTCTAGGACAGTGGTTCTCAAACCTTTGCATTGGTGACCCCTTTCAGTCAGCAAATCTCTGAGTGCAACCCCCCCTTTAAAATAAAAACACTTTTTTATATATTTAACACTATTATAAATGCCTGAGGTGAAGTGTGGCTTGAGGGTAGATGCTGATGGCTCGTGACCCCCCACATAATAACCTCTTGAGGGGTCATGACCCCCAGTTTGAGAAACCCTACTCTAGGAGAATTAGGGCAATTAGGAGATGAGGGGAGAGAACGAAGTTTGTTTTGGAGTTTGGGAGGAGGAGCGTGGTGCTCATTGGGGTTGGGAATCCTTTTTTAGAAGTCTGCCATTTTCACACATTTTTATTTTAACTTTTGTACCGCACCAAGAGATTTCCAATGAGTACAAATGGAAGGAAAGTGAAACAAATCAATCATTGAAGGAAGTGGGTGTCAAGTGGGTTGCACTTACGTTTCACTGTCTGTCATATCCAGTAACTCCGATGGACCTGTGAAAGAAAGTCCCGTATGTCATATGCAGTGTTGTTGTAGCCATGTGGGTCCCAGGATATTAGAGAAACAAGGTGGGTGAGGTAATATCTTTCATTGGAGCAACTTCTGTTGGTGAGAGAGACAGGCTTTCAAGCTTACACTGACCTGTGAGGATAAGCTCGAAAGCTTGTCTCTTTCACATATGTCACATGGTATGCTTTATGTTCTATGATTGGCTGATTATTGTTTTAACCAGTAAAACTGTGCCTAATATTGTGGGTTTGGTTAGAGGTGGATATGGTGAACCTTTCTTTGAAGTTTCACTGCCTGTGGGTTCATATCCCCCAAATTCAACTTTGGACTTTCAGGTTGAATGATCCTGCAAAGTTTACATCAAATCTCATCTGAAACCACCAAATTTTACACTATTTGTTACAAAAGCACAAAATAGAACCCCTCTTTTCCTCTTTTGCTGTTTTCCTGTGGGTGTGTTGGGAGGGAGGAGAACAGGACCCAATGACCTGTACCCCCTCCCCAAAACCAAACATTTTCATTACCACTCAGGAAAGCCAACTGGCTGTCTCCTGGAATTGTAGGTGGCCCACTACCTTCCTCCTCCATCTTCACACTGTGGGAGGTTGGAAAAAGCAATCCCATTCCCCATACCCTTACACTGTAGAAAGCTTTAAGGAACCCTGCAGCCTCACTGTTTGCCCCAAGTTACCAGCAATGTGCTCAAATGGCTCCACTGGCTGCTGCAATGGCCTCGAACTTCATAAGGGGACTTATGGCAACTGAGATTTCACCAGCTACTAGGGAACGTGCTCCCATAATTAGCTGCTTTGTGCTTTGGGGGCCCACTCCCCACACAGCAGGGACTGTGGGTGCTATAGACATAGCACATTCAGTTTCTGCTTGGAAAGGCTGCACCGTAGTCCACCAATACACAACACTTTACATTTTCAACGTGCTACACAGCATTAATCTTAATAAGGAGCAACAATGATGGATTCCACATGGATTCAACCCTCCTTGACTAGAAAGGTAGTCAGATATAATGAAGGGCCTAGGAGCACAGAGGAAGGAGGAAAATAGGCAACTCCTTGAGGGTCTGAAGCCCCTGCATGCCAATAAGCGGGAACATGAAATTTGAATGTTCTCATGCCATTAGAATCAGACAACTAAGAAAAAAAAATCTAGGGTCTGTCAAAAGATTATTCTTTTCAGGCAATGCTGCTCTTCCAGCTTACCAACGTTGCCATTTGCCAGCCATTGGGCTTAGACAATACACTGTAGCCCGCTGGGAAACACAACTGGAGCTTTGCCCCTCCCAGATACAGACACACTTCTTTTGGGCATGGAGATTACTTTGAGTGATGACTGCTTTGGGGAGAGGGAAAGACAGTTTGACGGAGGTGGAAAGTGTCTTGGTAGATAGAGTAAGGGTAAAAAGGGAAATGGGCATCAGGGGAGAAAGGGAAGGGGCATGAGGTAATTGGTCTGGGATGGCAAAGGAGCTGGGTTAAAATGATGGGGAATTAGGCCTGCTAAGCAGGGAGACCAAGGAGGGGGGAAAATTGGACTGGGATGGAAAGGGGATGAAATTAGGGCGAAGGGGGATGGGGCTGATGGCAAGGGGCTCAAAAAGCATTCTAAAAATATAAAAATAAGAAAACCAGCACATTTTCTGCCACCTTAGGGAAGGGGGTTTATATGATATTACACTGAACTAAGCTATTTATCAGCATCCCAACTATCACAGCCAGCTTGAGGGTCAGAGACTGGTAGTATATAATTCACATAACAATATGGTACCCAGATTATTGTTTTGTTCTCTTATGTTTACAGCTCAAACTGGAGGCACTGAGTCATGCATAATATTAAGCTGGGCCCTTATTTATGTTCAGCAGTGCTTCTCTTAAACCATCTCATGCCCTCCTTCTAATTCCCCAACCCCTCTTTTTGGACCTTGTTTTTACATCAGTCTCCCTGGCGCTGCCAACCGACCATTCCAAAACCCCCTCTGGTGCAGGACAAAAGCTGCACAGATGTGGGAAAGGCTGGCACTGGGAAAGCTAACAGCACTGTCATCCTGGCCCAGTAGGGAGCCGCCTGTTTTACTGGGGACAAGAGGCAAAGAAAGAAAAGGGGACTGAGACACAGAGAGGGAGAGGACAAAATAACCCAATAGAAGTCCGGAAGGGAAATGCATGAGTGAGAGTTCTATCAAGGAAAACAGCAGGGGGGGAATAAAAACAAAAGATAAAAATGTGTTGGGAGGTGGAGGAATAAAAAAGGCCCAGGAAAATAAAATAGGGGATGGGGGGTGGGGGGAGAAGAGTTCGCTTGAAAGGAGCTGAAAAGCAAGAAACATTGGGGAGAAGACCAGCTGGGATCACTCTCTGTCCTTAATGTCTGATAGTAATTTCACACAGAAAGACTAATTTTCCCCCCCCTCCCTCTTCCCCCCTCCCCTGCCCCGTTTGCTCCACCAAACCCGCTCTCTGATTTCTCAGGAGGCATAGCAGTCTGGGTTTTGGGGAGGGACAAGGAGTGAGATGTTCAAAAGCAAAACAGCTGCCCTTTAGCTGAGCTCACTACAACATAAAAGAAACTAAATGATCACATTTCCAAGGCTATTTCCAAAATCTATGGCACCATGCAAGCTAAAAGTCCTCAATACGTGCAGCAAACCCTACCCCTTCAAACTGAGGCTGCTAAAGCTACTCTTTCCCTCTTCAAATTCAATCAGAGGGAGAGGTTAACAGTAACTGTCTTTTACAGCTGATGTCTTTTTAACTCGACTCAGGGTCTCCCCCATGACTTAAGGGTGGGGCTCTACTTTGAAAAAGTGACATTGTGGGTTTCCATATTTATTGTCTCAATAATTTCCATATAAAATGGGCTTACAAGTAAAAAAGATGGATTTTCTGTCATCCTCAAACTGGGATAGCAAAGCCACATAGTGGTCTAGCTGGCTTAGGTACCTGATTTTAAAACAAAGATTTTGCAAGTCAAATGCTGTACTCGGTTATACCACTGCAACCTCACTTTCTTCCAATTATGTGCTTAGCACAGTTATGCAATCCCTGTGCCTTCAACAGGATTACATACATGTCATTTAGAGGAGAATTTGGCCCTATATGTGGAATTTACCTAATAATTCTATTCATGATGTGAGCCAAAATAGAATCCAGCTCACACTCCCAGAATTGTGTTGGCTCTTCAGTGCTAAAACTGTATCCTTCTCACCAAAGTAAACTGATATGACTCGGAAAAAGGACTCAAAATGGCACTTTCCTTCTCAATAGATCTGCTCCCTCTGTGTATTCAGAGTACAAGTCCACTTGAGGGTAGCAAGGCTGTTGAAGTTTGAGGAATGTTCAGGACTGGGGCCTACTGCTGAGCGTACTGACTCACATTCCACTAGCTCTGCCTCATCTCAACAAAAAGTTAGCGCAATACCTATCAGTGTCATCTCACTATTCTACCAAAAGACACTGCATGAGTGGCTAGACCTGCTCCCTCCTCCTGAACACATAGGGGAGAAGAGAAAAAATATCCTACTCCACTCCATGGAAAGGGGGACGAGAATCACCAGCACATATTCTCCTCTCATTAGTTAAGGCTAAATATTTCAGAAGTGCCACATAAAGAATCAAGGTCAGGTTTGAGTCCAAATATAGATGAAGATTTAGGAGGTTATTTTTCCCCACCAGAACTGGTTAAGCCTTTCCCAGTTAAATTCAACTAGATTATTTAAGAGATTAGCTCTTCTAACAGATTTATTTCTGTAGTGTAACAGAGCAACTGTGATGATTGGGCATTACTTGGCACACTCACAGTTTCTAAAGGGTGTGTCTCCACCCATATGGGAAGGATCCCTGACTCTGGGAATTCTGGGAGGAAGTTGAGGGTTTTGTATCTGTTTTTCCTGCCTCTGGGAAAGAAGAAAACTTCTTTGTTACAGCCATGCCAGGAGCCAGCAAAGTGTTGCTTCTGTACTCTTGTAGAAGAGTCTATTCACTGCAGGTGCATCCTCTCCTGGCTAGGCAGGGTGTAGCAGCTCTCCTCCTCCTTTGGTGCCCCCCACTGACAGTGACCTGGTCCTGTGATGGTCGTCGTCTTCCTGTGAGTTGGCCATCCAGCCAGGTCACTTTTAGTCCTGGGCCTTCTGGGGAAACATGAGTCCAACAGCCCAATGGCCTGGCAGAATCACACCAGAGGTTCTACCCAACTTCAGGCTTTTGGGGCTTGTCAGCCATAGGCTCTGGGGTGTTCATGCCCCTGTCCTAGGTAGGCTGATAGAGGAACCCAGGCCTACCCTCTACTCTGGGTTCCAGGCCAGGGACCCTGTATGAAGCAGATGAGGTCTGTTTGTTGAGATCCACTACTGTCTCTCTGGATTGCTTCCTACCATGGCCTGTACCTAGGCCTTCCTCACAGTCTCTTACCCTGCTGACTCTTCTGCTGGTCCCAAAACAAATGAGAGCCAAACCACTTATGAGAAACAAAAGAAACAGACGTACGCGTAGTGCAGGACCTTTCCCCAGGGGGCTATGACCCATAGGAGTCTCTGGTTAGGCTCTAGCTCCAGTTGGCTCTTCCTTCCAGGCAGCTTCAAGGCAGTCTCTGGCCCCAGCTAGGGCTTTCTTCACAGGGTTAGTTCAAGATATCTACTCCCTCTCTCAGCCAGCCACCAATGAACTGGGCTTTTCCTCTTTTATCTCCTTCCTCCAGGCTTGACACCTTGCATAGGTGTAACAGGATGGGGCTGATTGGGCCCACAGGCTCTCATTAATCCCCTCTTGCTCAGTATGGGGTCTGCATACCCCATCACACTTGTCTTCCAGCAATAAACAGATGTGATTCTGATGCCTACTGAGTTTGTACCTGTATTGTCATTCCAGGGACTATGCCGGGTTGTTCTGGCGCACTAATAAGTACACTGCAGCATTGCATAACAGTATCTTTATATGACTAGCCTATGATTTTTCTAATTTGAGACTTTTTCTCTTAACATCTGAAGTGTTTCAGATCCAGAACATGGAACAGCTTCTCCTCATGACGACACTGGTGTGTTTGAAGATGGCATATGCCCATCATCACAAAGGGCCTCCTCACATTAATGTTTCCTTATTCTTCCTCCCCTACCTCTGAGAACATGGGATTGGATTTGCCTTTTCTTTATCATATTATATTCACCTCCCTAGTTCAATGTGAGGAATCTAAAAGTTCTGCCAAATCCTTTTTAGCATTCAGAACATTTTCCCTATATGATTTAGTGCTGGATTTTCAGCAGCATACCCTGGAAGGTATTTTGCAGTGTGACTCCCATTAACATTAGCCATATCCAAGAGTGCATAGGCAGCAGACATACTATAGAGGCACATGACTGGGCAGGGATTGAGGCAGTAGCAGGGATAAAAACCATTCCTGTATCTTCTCACATTAGAAAGGATGGACATTAGCTAAAATGATTTAGCATAAGATATTAGGAAGTGTCAGAAAACATCTGAATCATGGATTAATACACTTCATGCTCTGAATACTGATAAGGTGCTAGGGGGCACAATCTACATTTTAAAGTACCATAGAGAAGCAAAAAACATTACACTGATGAACCTTCAGCAAGTTGGCTCAGAGAGATTATCAAAGAATGAGAAGTGTCCTGTGTAGAAATGACTTTTATTAATTTCTTGGATGCAGGTGGAGAGAACAAGTGGACCTCCATTAGTGCATTGCCAATTCCCAGTCAGATTCCCCAGAGACTTACACAAACAAGGCAGCTGAGACACCCAGAGGAAGAAGATCTAGAAAGGTTTCAGAGGGTTCCTGCCACACTGGTGAAAACAGGGCTGGTGTTTGCTCAATGCTATGGTTTGTCTTAATTTATTCTTGTCATAGCCTCCTCACACTTTCTCTGTTAGCTGAGGCAACTCTTTCTCATGAGTTTCCTGTTCTAGCTTCAACTACTACTTCGACTTGAGTCTTCACATAAGTCTAACTGTGCTGGAATTCAATTGGGATGCACACATGCAAGATGTGCCTGAGGGAAATATTGGGGAGGGATGGGGGATAAGTACACAGGCCAGGTGTGTTCTGAGAGGCAGTCTGGAGAGAGGGATCAATGAAGGAAACTACAGAATTCAGGGAAGTCCTATGGCCTGTGTTATGCAGGAGAGCAAACTAGATGATCACAACAGTCCCTTCTGGTTTTATAATCTAGGAAAATGTTGCATCTCCTACAAAGTTGTCCTGTTATACTCTTCACTTGCTCCCCCTTATCTAGGGCCAGCTTCAACACTTCTTCCAAATCCATAGCAACATGCTGCAGGAGGATAGATTGGTAAGGGGTTTTGAGTAAACTTTTATTCTACCACAATGACACTTCATGGAATGTGATTCTGTGTGGGTTTGCACACAATTACTCACCATGTTCTAAGATGTATTTCACAATTTCAAGGTGCCCAGTCTTGGCAGCATGGTGAAGCAAGGAACAGTGGTCAGGTCCCTGGATTAACAGATTAGCTCCTCTCTTACAGCATTCTATGAACTGGAATGTAAATGCACAGGAAGAGGACAAGAAAACTGTAGGACAAGGTGCACAGGTAAATAAACATGCAGGTAAATTAACTGTCAGATTTGCTAGCAGGTGGCTAAAAAGGAGAGGTGGTAACCACTAGCCAAACTTTTAGGCCCTTACAATGCACAGCAAAGGCTTTTGACCTAAAACTAGCAAGGCTTAAAACACAGTGAGTTAACAATGTCAAATCACATTTCCTGACCACTGGATCATTGGTGATATACTATAGATGAATTATTGCTTGCAAGTAGGGCTGGTAAAAAAAAAATCATTGAAATTATTTGAGATTTTTGTTTGTTTGTACATTTTAATGAAAAATTGGGTTTTCAACTAAACATTTCACCAAAAAGTGTTTGATTTCTGTGGAACATTTCAACTTTCTGATAAAAAAACAAACACACATAAACCAACAAAACTGAGCCAAACCCCCAAAAATTTATTTGGAAATACACAGTGCCTTATGGGAGTTGTAGTTTGGGTGCCTTATGCCCCAAGTCCATCTGCAGAGATTCAGATACAGAGTTTATGTGCATGTGGGTGTCTTGGTTATGCCCTGTTCAGATGTGTGGTGGGGTGGATCACTGTGTGTTTGTATGAATACATGTTAGTACAGTGGTGGTGCTACAGTCTGTAAATGAATTTGTGAATGGCCCATGTGTTCAGGATTGGGTACACACTGTATATTGCTTGGAAATAGTAAATTGCTCTTTATATTTTCATGTATATTCCCATGTATATTTTTAGCCAGTAGGGGCCCTAAGCACCAAAGGATCATTCCTAAATACACTTGTATGTATTTGCAACTGATATCATGGGAAGAAGCTTTTAAGAATTAGGTTTTGGGTCTTTTCCCAAAATCTTCCTGCCTTGCCTTTCCTACTGCTGCCCTGAGAAGATCTGAACCTCTGTAAGGAAACCAACATGCCAGAGATCAGGTGCTGTACCTCCTACTTCCTTATCCATATATTACACACACACACACTTTTCTACTTGGATCTCATTGTAGGGGAAGATTCGCATTGGGAAGGCAGGAAAGAGCAGGTGATTGCTTCTTAAAGTTGCTGCACGCTTTGGGAATTTGTAAAACACACTACAGAAAACAGTGTTGAGATTGCATTATGACAACGGGATATTATTATGTCATGACACAAAGTCATGATGCACCTGGAGAAGATTCAAGGGAGCGTTGCATCTTATAAATTACAGTAGCCTTAAGGGATGGGGAAACTGTGCTGTGAAATTCAGAACAGAATGTGATATGAGGGAAAGAGCAATATTGTACGAATAAATGGTGGTTACAGTGAATCATTGCTACTGCTGTTGCCAGAGGGATAGTGGGGGCAGAGGTGTGTTTCAATAGGCAAAGATCAGGAGTAACAGAATTGCCACTTTTTCAGATAGCTTCAAGGCTTTTTTTCCAGTTAACGTTGCAATTGTTAGTCACAATACTCACCCAAATTCAGGGGCATGTTTGCAAATCCCAACCACTTAGGGTACATCTACACAGCAAAACAAAACAAGCAAAACAAAAACAAAAACCAAACAAACAAAAACAGTGGTAGCGAGTTTCAGAGCTTTGGTCAACTGACTCGGGCTTGTACTACAGGGCTAAAAATAGAACCTAGGCTGTGAGACCTACCCCCAGGAAAATCTACAATGCTATTTTTAGCCCCAAAAGCCTGAGTGAGTTGATTCGGGCTTTGAGACTCATTACCATGGGGTTTTTATTCACTGCGTAAATGCACCCTTAGCTGCTGAAAAATAGGAATTGCAATTGTCAGAAGTGAGCTTCACACTTATAGGAATTAAACACTTTCCCTCTGCCCCCTTTCCTCCTTCCTGAGAGAGTTCCCAATAGCTGACACTTAGGGCTGGGCCAAGATTTCTTGGGTTTCAAGCCCTTCTGAATATCAGAAGAACTCGGTTCATAGTTAATACTGACATTACAGTGCAGTGCAAAGGGAGCAGAGACTGATGAACTATCAGAAGTGTCATCTATCAGGTCATGAAATGCTAAAGCAAAGTCCCTTCTTCCTACCTTTGTAGTTGTCTAGGTGGAAGTTACAAATATCCTTACACTCTTTGAAGAGAATTGGGGACAACGCCGGTGTTCTGACCAAGATTCCCCTTTCAGTAAAACAGGCTTTATTGTGAAAGGCTGGGTTGGTGATACCGTATTGCTCAGCACTGCATTTGCCTACATAATCATTTCACTGTGTAATCAACCCATTGCTCTGTGAAGTACTTTGGGATTCCTGGAATATGAAAGGTGCAGTATAACACCAGATTCTATCCACTTGAATTTCAATCATATCTCACTTGGCTATTGTTCCTCTAATATTCAGTGTACCCTGCAAGTGGCATTTGGCTATCAATCTTTACAGCAGCATGTTTATGTTTTGAGAGAGGAGTAGACTATAACTCATAGTCCCTCACAGCTTCAAATAGCTGAGAAGAGGGAGAAACTCAGCTTGCTGTACTTACCTTTAGAAGATCACCGTCTATTACTGCTTGTAAAAGTGCTGCAAAAGACAAAAGACAAGACTAACATCAGGGATAAGGACACCAGTATAATTATTATTTACATAGTTCCACAGATGAGCACAGTGCTTGACAGTATTAAAAATACATAGGAGGCAAGGTCCTCTGGCCCCAACAAGCTTGCATTCTAGTGCCACAACCTTAAATCATCAGAACCATGCTCTGGGTATGACTACACTGGAGCTGAAAGTGCAAGTTCCAGCTCAAGCAGATGTACCTGTGCTAGCTCTGATCAAGCTAGTGTGCTAAAAATAGAAATGTAGCTGCAGCAGCATGAGCAGTGGGATGGGCTAGCCACCCCAAAGGACAATCCTGTCCAAGACCCTAATTGCATATTCAGGGAAGCTAGTCCCTCCTGCAATTCATGCCACACAGTGGCTACACTTCTGTTTTTACCACATGAGCTTTATCAGAGCTAGTATAGGGGTCTCCTTGAGCTGAGATCACCCCTTCCAGTTCCAGTGTACTCATACCCTCTGGCAAACATTACAGAATCGGAGAGGGAATATAAACAATATTGTGTCAAACACTACCAAAAGTTTAGGCCAATGTTTTCAAAAGTGGCCATTCCATTTGTGCACCTCAATTTTTGAATGCCCAACTTACGACATGTTAGGTCATTTGCAATGTGCTTGCAGCATTGGTTTAACTCTGTTCCAACTGAGGTCAACAGTGAAACTCCCATTCACTTAAATGGGAGCACAGATAGGCCAACACTGAATGCAAAGAAAGTCCTTCCTGGGATCCTCTCAAGATTTATACTTATGAACAATCAGTCCCAGTAGTGGATAGCAGAAGACTCAGAAATAAACAAAGGGGAAAGCAGAGCATTATTAATTATTTAGAAGTCCCTAGACACCCCAACTGAGATTCAGGCTTCCATTCTAGTAGGCATAGCACAAACGCATCATAAGAGACAGCCCCTGCAGCACTTGCAATAAACAGACAGTGGATGGGAGGGAAAATGGAGGTACAGAGAGGTAAGATACTCAGGGTCATGCAGCATGTCAGTGGAAGCACTGAGACTAGAACCCAGATCTCCCAGTCCAGTGCCCTACCCTACCCAGTAGGCCACATTGATTTATAGGTCAGGAGAGGCATGCGGGGAGTCAGACTAGATGATCACAGTGAAACTAGCAACAGAGAGTCCTGTGGCACCTTTAAGACTAACAGACGTATTGGAGCATAAGCTTTTGTGGGTGAATACCCACTTCATCAGATGCATGTAATGGAAATTTCCAGAGGCAGGTATAAATATGCAGGCAAGAATCAGTCTGGATATAAAGAGGTTAGTTCAGTCAGGGAGGGTGAGGTCCTCTGCTAGCAGTTGATGTGTGAACACCAAGGGAGGAGAAACTGCTTTTGTAGTTGGTTAACCATTCACAGTCTTTGTTTAATCCTGATCTGATGGTGTCAAATTTGCAAATGAACTGAAACTCAGCAGTTTCTCTTTGGAGTCTGGTCCTGAAGTTTTTTGCTGCAGGATGGCTACCTTTAGATCTGCTATTGTGTGGCCAGGGAGGTGAAACTAGTGTCTCATTTGGGGTGTCTAGGCACTTCTGTAATACAGACAATTAGTTGGGAGCCAGTGGCTAGGATGCTAGACTGGGGATCAGGGTTCCATTCCTGGTTCTGCTCCTGATGGGCTGTGTAACTTTGGGCAAGTCACTTTCTCTTCCCACTGTTTTTAACCAGTGGAACAATTTACCAAGGGCTGTGGTGGATTTTCCACCACTGGCAATTTTTAAATCAAGAGTGGATATTTTTTAAAGACATGCTCTGGTTCAAAAGGAATTATTTGGGGGAAGTTCTATGGCCTCTGTTATACAGGAGATCAGACTCTATAATCACAATGGTCCCTTTTGGGCTTGGAATCTATGAATCCTCATACTGCCTCCCCCTATTCCTAATCAGATTACAAGAAAAGAGGGTGGCAAGAGACCAGAGTTCCAGGTATTTTGGTCATAGCTGAACTATAGAACTCACAGGAGAGTTTCTACACTCTCTGGGCAGTAAGTAACCACAAATAAGTGAGGGTGATACAAGTTTCCTACCACGGAGCTATTTTCTCCTTCCTTTCCCTCCTCTTAGCATTACATATACAGCAAAAATCAATAGTGAACTAATCTTTCTGGAAAAAAATGTTATTAAGGCCCGTGAGACAGAAAAGCATGTAAGTGCCTAAGCCCATCTTTGTTTAGAACAGCACTTAAGTATGTGCTTAACTTTAGGCAGAAGTGTAAAGTTAAGGATATGCTTAAGTGCTGTCTGGATAAGGATGCTTTCCTGAATCAGGGCCTAAAGGAAGAATAAGAAAAACAATACCATAGTATTTTATCTGGCAAACACAGCACTGGAACCTCCATGGTGACTATTCCACAAGGAGCTCATTACAACTCCAGGAATAACATCACAAATGAGTTAAACACTGCAGGGGAGACAGGGGAGAAACCAACAAATGTTTCTTTCTTTTAAAGCACACGAAAGCTGTGTGGTATGCAAGAGGTGGATTTCTACTGCCTAAGCAACGTCATTTTTGTGCAGGAGATTTGGGGACCTTTTCTCACTTCATCCCCTGGCTGTGTAGCAGTGGGGAAAAGCAAAACTTCACCCAGCAGAGTTCTGAATTTGGAAAGCAGTGCTACAATCACAGTTCATATTTATCCTGCAGCACTTAAGGCAGTTTCTGAGTGAGCACTAGTTAACAAACTAGGTATCGTAAATCACCTGGCAGCAGCACAAAGTTCTTAAGTAAAGAAGGAGACACAAAGCAAAGGATAAGAGCCAGAGTTGGGAAAATACAATTTTGTGCCCCAGACTCGGTTTTCACATACACTGGTTTAAATCCAGTGTTTCTTCTCTGTCTTCAATGGATTTATACCAGTGCAACACAGCAGAATTTGGCCCTTTGTGTTTATTTGTTGCTGCTCCCAGCCCACCATAAGCCTTAGAAACCGCCTATGGGAGGGCTGAATATCTAAATGACAATATGTGTCCTTCACGAACCATATTCCTTCTTGAAGAGAGGGGATTATTGATGCCAAAGAAGAAGAGCGTGTCTCTTATGGACAGTCCTCGATGGGGATCTGTCCTTGTGCCAAGAGAGCATCCATTGCTCTCATGGAAAGCCTTGGAGGAAAAGTCTTTAGACTTAGAGACCAAGAGCTCTTCTTTGAAGCACATGCTCGAGGGGTGGGAGAGTACTGCTTGTTTGGTGAGGACAATGTAAAGAGGGGTCTCCCTAGCCTGGATTGGAGAGTGGCTTCTCCATTAAGTGTTTTCTAAGGCAAAGCTCACTGGCTTCATGAGTTCTTGGTGGAAATGAGCGACAAATGATAGACTTTGCCTAAATGTTTCTCACCGACACAGTAGAGGCCGCATTGGTATTCATTGCTGATGGAGAAGGATCTAGGGCAGGAATGCAGTTTTTGAAGCCCAGGACTCTGGGCATAGTCCCCGACTGCGGGAAGGGAATCCTAAGTCCAGGGAAACAAACTACATTAACTTTACTAAAAATTAACTGTACTAGGCTAAAAGAATAACTATTTATAATCTTATTTACAGGATTTTCTGAAAGGCTGAAGCAGGAGGACACTGGATTCCAATGCAGGACCATCTTACTGCCTCATGGCCTGAGTGGGTATTGACCTGCACTGCCTCTTATTCCCTTACTTGGAAGCATAAGAAGATCTACTGTACTGCACATCTGCAAGCCAATGGACATTGCTTGTTAAAATCTCTGGACTCGGGCACTGGAGTGCACGCATTCCCACGTGTGGAATACACATATGGCCCAGCAATCGAAGAATGACTGGTGATACCATTTCCAAGCTGTCTTACACTTCCCATTATTTCAACATGTGCTGCCTTAAAGTTCCTTTCCAAAAGCAAGATATATTTTATCCCATTCGAACCAAGATGACTACCTATGGTTACAACTCTGAAAAGATAAGGGGTAGAGTAAGGTGTAAATCAAAGTTTCCTAGAAGTCGCACAAACCCATCTCCCAGCAAATATCAATAACTAGAGATTGGCTAGTGGCTCCTCCTTTATTGTGTTGTGATTTGACTATTGAATGTGGACTGCTATCAGTCACAAAGAATAATTTATATGATCTTTTTATCTCTTTTTTAGACCCTGATCCAGCAAAACACTTAGACAGGGCGTTAACTTGATGCATGACTAGCCCCATGGAAGTCAATGGGAAGACTTGCATAGTTCAAGGTAAGCACTTGCTTAAGTGCTTTGCTAGAATAAAATCTTTCTGCATAGATAATAAAATACACACATACATACCAAAAAACAAAACTGCTGCTATAGTGAATGGATTGAATTATAAGAATTCAGTGCTGTGACACAGAATGCCACGAAGTTTAGAATACTGGAACAGGTAGAGGTAGTTGCCTTTTTGGGGCAGGGCCCATACATGTCTGTACAAAGCTTAGCACAATGAGGTCCCAGACCCAACTGGATCTTCTGTGTGCTAGGATATTGATGATGATGATGATGACAACGACGACACCACAATAATAAATTCACCCACTTTTAAAATAGGTGGTCAAAGCAAGCAAACATATGGTATTGGTGATAGCGAAAAAAGGGCAAAAATCAAATGAAAAAGCTATTAACAAGCAATGACAAAAAGTAAAAAACAAATGTGAGAACGATTTTATTTGTTCTGAGCAAAGTATGTTTGTCACTGGTGTAGTACAAAACATGAATTATGCAATTGTTTTATCATACCAAAAAATACCTTCAGGTCTTAAAGAGTCTAAAATAATTACTTGATCTAATAAACATTTAAATCAAGTAATTATTTTCTTGATCCTTCCCAAGCTGGCTATTTGCAATGAGTAACAGAAATGTTTTATTACTTATTTTTTGGGGGTGGAGAGTAAGTGAATTTACTGCAAATGAAAGCTACCAGATAGACAGAACTGGAGACTGAAGTCCTTTATCCACATAATTGGCAAGCACACAG